ATACCGACGATTTGTGCGCTGGATTGCATTGTAGTCTATCGTTTCTTTCTTTTGTTTCTCACTTGTTTCATTTTGCATTATCTTCGTACGAGCATGCGCATTGTGTTCATTCTATTTTAGTTTTATTCTCACCACTCCTTTCTAGATACCTTGGATTATCAATTCTATATCAAATAATTTGATTAGATTATTATAAAAAATGCTTTAGCAAGCTGGGCGTGGAAATATGACAAAGATATAATAATTCACATGGAAACAGCACTGAATTTTTCTTAAAATAATACTGTCGAAAAATGTCCTGGGTCACATTTTTTTTTTTCAAAATGAAAGCACCGAACAGAATCTCAAACCCTCAAACGTAGTCTGCTGTCGAAGTTTGAAATACCGTCAAGGAAATGCAAATGTCATTTTTAAATAAAAAACGGCAAGTCGGTAATATTGTTGCCTGTGAAACCTTCTTGAATTTTATGGAGAGAAATTCAGCCAAGATCCACACCGCTGAAAACCGCAAAACGGCGGTGCAAAAAGGGCGTATGTGTTTGACCCGAAACACCTAAAAATGTCAGTAAAATGATAATATACAATTGATCATATATAAGAATAATGTCTTTCTCCCCTCAATATATATATTGACCACTAATATTATCAATATATTCGACGTATGAGGATCGAACAGATCGGTTCCTAGGAAATCAGCAACCCAACAACAGCACATGTGATTTTGATTATAATGGTGAAGGTTTCGTGCAGAACCATCCACATTTTTTGATGGGCCGAATACAGAGACTTAGTGTACTACGTCCCACAGGGTCCCCAAACGACCCTCTACAGATTTTGAATTCAGAGTTGTCCTTCTCATAGACATAATTCGACTTACATTACATTTATTTTCCTCTTGGATGTTACCTGAATTTTACCTTTAATTTTACCAATTAAGAACAATAAAATCCATACCCGATCATGATAGGGTGACCTATCGAAAGTATCAGCATATTTATTGTTGTGGTAGGATCCACCTAATTTTCATAGTGAAGTGCCGACCATATAAATATGGTTGGTACCGGGAAGAGAAGGGGAGGAATCAAGAGATTCAATCCAGAGACTCTGCCCGACTGCGACTAAGTCAACACATTCTCCAGGAAGGTCTTCCCAGGAATATACAAAAGACTATATGTAAATATTGTGTACACTTTCTTCTTTCAATACATTTGTTCTAAGTACATTATGTGTTGCATTATTATTCCATGCATTAGTCAAGTTTCAACATTTATGTAACATAGGGAACATCTAAAAATAGGTATCACATCATTCACTGACTTGTTAGGGGGGCGGTAATACTTGTAAATTTGTTAGTAAAGTGACTTCGTCATTTATTACATTAACCTTACTAATTTATTCTTAGTATGACTTCTTCATAGTAATATATATATATATATATATATATATATATATATGTGTGTGTGTGTGTGTGTGTGTGTGTGTGTGTGTGCGTGCGTGTGTGAAAATATATAGAAAATAGGAAAGAACTCGTTAGGTAAATAATCCAAAGTTCTTTAGTATTTTTGTTATTATTTTTTAAAAATAGTGCTCGATACAAAAGTAGAGCATGAATATAATTATTTATTTAAAAATATGATTCCAACGCTACATAAGAGTTCTCATGTTTCAAAATAAGAGCCCAAATCTTAAATATAATTATTTGAATTAAATTGTATGCATTTCTAAATGCCAGGTTCGTTCAGGATAGAGGCAGTCAGAGTGACCAAAGATTTCTTTTCTTTCTTTAATAGGAGTAGCTAGATTCGCCTATCGTCCTGTTCACACTTCCCTCCTGTCTCTTGAACAAGAGTAAAGATTTATTTCTAGTTTCTTATTTATGGTTAGCTTTCTGGCCTCTTCTTTTACAGTCTCTTTCACTCCTCACGTCTCAGTGGCGTCATCTCCTCGCTTGGGATGATTTGATTAAATGAAATGTGAATTGAAATGACTTTTTGTTAACGTTAATGAAGAACTTTCCTCCCTTGGCGTAAGCACGGTTTGGGATTTAGAATTTTTTTTTTCTTCAGCTAGAAAGGCTACCATAGAAAGTGAACGAAACTATTATCTCCTGCTAATTAGCTGGCGAGGAAAGAAATGGATTTACTCCATTCCCAAGTCTATTATTGTGAAGGGGGAACAACTGGATAGTCTAGATCTCCATATTAAGATGGCCAAACATGCATTCCAAAAGCTAAGCAGAGTAATACGAGACAGGAGGGTTTCGTTGGTAGCAAAAAAAAAAAGATTCCTGGACTGCTACATGATGTCTGTCCTCCTTTACGGCAGCGAATCTTAGACGGTCAAACAAAGATGAAGAAGATACTCGAGGCAACGGAGGTATTGTTCTACAGAAGGATACTAAGGATACCATAGTCCGAACATGTGAGTAACGATGAGGTTTTGGAGAGGATGCAAACAAGGAGGAAGTATAATCAAACCTGCTTCACGATTGGCAGTAGAGAGCGTCATTAAATCCCACGTGTTTCAGATCGTCTCGGCCACGAAGTGCGTTGTCGATCATGCAAAATTAAATGGCGCTTTGTAAATGTAAATCTCTCTCAGAATCTCGAAGCATTCATATCTGTTCAGTTTCGTTTCCAAACGTAAACAAAGCAATTTCTAAAGTGATGGATTTTTTTATTTATCAATCTGACAGATTTTATTACTTAAATGTTATTTTTACTGGATACCCTTATTTCAGTAAACGCCCCGTTTATTGATTTAACAGTGTATATTTCCGGCATAGAGCACATATGACTTGTTAGGACGGTTAATACTTTTAAATTTGTTAGTAAATTGACTTCGTCATTTATTACATTAAACTTATTAATGTATTCTTAATATGACTGCTTCATTGTAAAATATATATATATTTAATTCAATTGTTTACAAATACGTTTGTAGTTGCGGAGCCAACTACATAGGGAGAACAACTCAGCGCTTAGATATTAGAATAAAAAGCACGTTCCTACTAAAAATCAGAAACCACACCTTTGCCTTCAAAATGGACTCGTCCTGAACACCTACAGTTCCGCCATATGCGAACATCTTTTAAATAGCAGAGATTGTGCTGCCAAATTCAATGTCGACTGGTTCACCCACAGTTGGCCCGGTCACACTCCGTATTTCATCTTAAGGTTCTAGAGGCGCTTTTACATCGGGTCCCGCAAGTTCTTTATTGCAAACAACGTGAGTGTTTGCTGGGACTCGCTGTCATCTGCCTCTAGTTCTTCTTGCATATATACAAGTATATATATGTGCATATATGTATTTTTTTTTCCACCTATTCTGATTGTACCTTCTCTGCTTTAATTTTGAATCTCCCGTGAAGTTTCAATGAGCGGGAGCGAAACCGGTTATTCCCCCCTTGTTGTTGAGTTTTTTTTTTATTATTTAACATTGTTTTAATATGTCTTGTAATATTAAATTTTACACTTTTTATTTCGATCATTAAATTTTTGTACTTACAAAAATATCTTTAAAATATATATATATATATATATGTGTGTGTGTGTGTGTGTGTGTGTGTTGTGTGTGTGTGTGTGCGTGCGTGTGTGTGTATTTCCGGCAGAGAGCACATATTTTCTTTAATAATATCTCTTAAATATTCAGTTTTGTTAGACAAAATAATTAAATATACTGTTTAATATATAAACGAAGCGTCTATTCAAATATCTTAATATCCCCAAAAATAATGTTTAATAAAGGCTGTCGAATTAATAAATAAAAATTCATTATTTCTTTATAAATTGTTTCGTTAACATTAGGATACAACACTGAGCAGATAAGAATATTTCAAGTTGGTGAAAAAGAAATTTGGTAAACGATTTATTTTAAATTTCCTCAAAATCATTTACCGACCATCACTTGAGGAAGTACAATCATAGTATTGAAACATGAAAGCTTTTTTTTGCAGCGATGCAAAATGTTTTATTATAATCTTAATATAATATATATATATATATATATATATATATATATATATATATATATATATATATATATATATATATCCAAATGTAAAAGAACGAAGAGCAAGATTTCAGCGTTCAAAAACGTTAATTTAAAAACAGGGCTCAATACAAAAGTAGAGCAATAAATATTTTTTATTAGGCAGATTTATATTAGAACATGTACTAAACTTAGTATCATCGTGATCTACCTGCTGAAACGTTAGAGAAATGTTTAACGTTGAAACAAGATGTACAGTTTTGTAGTGGGTATGTGCATGTTCTAATGTAGCATTGCATAATAAACACACACACACACATATATATATATACATATATATATGTGTGTATTATGAAATGGATTACTTAAGTAAATGCCCTGTTTTTTTTTTTTGTAATTTTTAATAATCGGTATTAATTACATTTAGCGGCTTGAATGTTCGAGAAATGTGGAAATCAACCTGTAACTTGTAATCAGTTGCTTCTTTGTGGCTGAATTGTTAACAGCATATCAGATCAAGTGATGACTTCCTTTGGGGTTACAGGCTCGATTCTACAGGCAAGAAGTACGAGGGAAGAATTTATAAGAATATAACTTATTGTTATATCTGACGATTCAACTGTAAAGCGGTGAGACGTAATTGCCATTCTAGTACCGTTGAAAGCGATACTTACTGTACTACTGTACTGATGCGGCGGATTGGGCCGGCTTCTTCCTGTTATGAGAAGAAGATTCTTGGGATAAATTACAGAAGTAGGGTACCCAGGCCTACTCGGATAACGTTCTTGCTTGCCGCGGGGTTTCCACAGACGCAGAGACAGGAACGACCAGAAGCCGCCGGTTACCGATGCAGACGCTCCTTGATTTTCACCAGAGCCCTTGTTAGCCGGCGTGTGTCAGAACCTGTCCGCCTTGGGTGGCCCTACCAGGAACGAAGTTCCGGGCGGCATAGCTCTGACACTACTGTTTACACCCCCCACCGACTGTGAGGTAAGGGTTGGACTTTGGGGCTTACGGTACCAGGTGTTCCCAAGCGGTCCCCCCCCATCTAAGTACTGACCTGGCTCTAAGATGCTTAACTTCGGTGATCAAACGAGAACCGGTGTTTCAGCGTGATTTGACCGTA